GGTAAAGAGTATCAGGGACACATTCTAGTTGAGATGAGTGGCATCTACAAGGACGCGGAGATGACAGTGAATGAGCTGCACGCGGGCCTAGCAAACAGCTCTGCTTGTCTCTGAGCTGCTGATAATTGGAGCTAAGAGGGGCTATAGCCAAGTTAGTCTGAGGGCTTGAGGAGTCCAGCTCTTCAAATGGGTAGATAGAGTCTGAAAGTGCATGCTGATGAGTTCAGGTTTTATGTGTCACACGTTTAGAAACTATTACAGATTTCTAAGCCAGAGAGTGGCGAAAACAAATTTAGGAAATACCTTCTTGATGCGTGCATTCTAAGGGAATTCGATAGTGTAAAGTGGTCTGAAATGTGGGCGGTACCACCTGTTCCCCTTGATGACTTCATTTAGATCCCGTTTTTTTTTTTTTTAATTTAGCTTTACTTTTGAAATTATTCTCATTCTAAGTCTCTCTAAAGCTCAAGGTTTACGTTATTCTTATCTGTAGTTTATCAATGTCCTGCTGGTATCTTGACTTTGCTAATCCTCACATTGGTGCTTATATTCTTGCCTCTGTTTAAAATACATCCTTTTTGAAATTTTTCTGTCAAAACTATGGTCGTTCTTCACATTCTAAATTATTGCCACTCTCTCTGTGAGGTGTATCGCTGTATCTCCTAATCCAAGTATGAAGTTGTCCTTCTTTCAACCCGTATACCTTTGTTTTTTTCCTTTTAGCATTTAGACTATTTTATCAGGTATTATGACTCTTACCCTATCTCCTTTACGAGTTTGTAAGTTCTTTGAGGGCAGCAGCCAGGAAAGTCATTTATCAATTTTTCATTACTAATTTGATGTCTGCCATGCTGTGAATGAGGTAGGCTTGTTCCTGCCTTCGTAGAACTTAGAGCACACAGTGATATCAAACATTCAGTACCTTGCACATAAATATTTGTTGAAAAAACAAACTAATAAGCGTATAGGAATGTGCGTATCTGGAATCATCAGAGATTTCCAAAGAAACCATACTTTCGTACTTTCCAGATTTTCCTTTTAAGCAGCAGATCTTTTCATTTTAGTTATGTCTGTCTTTCAGAATAGT